TGCAGGAAGACATCATCCTTGCGCACTCTGCTGACTTCACTACAGTCAATTCTGCTACTGGGTACCTTGAAGAAAACAGAACACTAATTCGAAAAGACGTATGCCCCCCTACGTTCACTGCAGCATTATTTACAGGAGCCAAGATATGGAAACAACCTAAGTGTTCAGGGATGGATAAATGGATAAAGATGTGACATCCATCCATCTATCTATCTATCTATCTATCTATCTATCTATCTATCTACCTATCTATCTATCTATCTATCATCTATCTATCTATCTATCTATCTAATGGAATACTGCACAGCCATAAAAAAGAATGAAATCTTATCCATGACAACATGGATAAACTTTGAAGGCATTATGCTAATTGATAAGTCAAACAAAGACAAATACCATATGATTTCACTTACATGTGGAATCTAAAAGATAAACATACAAACAAAGCAGAACTAAATTCAAACTCAAAGATACAAAAAACTGATTGGTGGTAGCCAGAGAGGGGGAGGGTTTGGGTGGGGAGGGAGCAAAATGAGTGGAAAAGATTAAGAAGTACAAACTTCCACAGTTATAAAATAAATAAGTCACAAGGATGTAACATATAGCACAGGGAATACAGTCAGTAATATTGTGTTAACTTTGTAAGGTGACAGATAGTAACCAGACTTACTGTGGTGACCATTCTGCAATGTGTAAAAATGTCACATCACTATGTTTACACCTGAAACTAATATAATAGTGTCAATTATACCTCAATTAAAAAAATAACAAGAGAAAAAATGAAAAAGAGGACATTTTCTTCAGTAACTCAATGCCATTATCACACCTATCAAGACTAGTAATAATTCCTCAATACCATCTAATACCAAGTTCAGAATCAAATGTCCTTGAATGTATCAAAGTGTCTTTTTAGAGTTGGTTTGTTACAAACCAAACAAGGGCCATGCATACTTACCTCTCTTAAGTTTCTTTTCATCCAGAGCAACTTCCGTCCCTTTTTACCCTCATACCATTTGCTTATTACAGAAACCACATCAGTTGTTTTATAAAACGTCCCACATTCTGTACTTGACTATACACTTGTATTATAGTTAAATTTACTCTTTATCCTCTGTATGCACTATGAGTGGAAGTAGCTTTAGAGACTCAGGTTTCACTTTTTTTGATACGAATACTTCATTGGATATTGCTTCATACTTTGTCTAATCAGAAGACACATGCCTGCCTTTTTCCCTTTTCATGATGCTAAGATTGATCAGAGGGTTCAAATGGTAACAGCTTGAGCACTCTATCAACTTCTCATCTAAAACTTTCGACTACTGATAATCATCCCCTGAATCAATGATCTCATGAGGGGCTGCAAGCAGTGGTTTTCAAATTCCATCAGTCCAGGCACATTTATTAACTGGAATTCTTCCCTCTCTTCAACTAAGCACCCCCCCCCCTTTTTTTACTCTGAATCACCATTTGGACAGGAAAAGCAAGATAACTACTTAATACTTTCCTTTTACTTCCAATTTTCAGAGGAAGAGGAGCTGGTGTTTTAGTTACTTCCAATAAAGCTTACTTTTAACTAAATTGGAAACAAAATAAAATATATTTTTTATAAAACATTTAAACAAAAGGGAAAAGAAGAGCTCTGTAAGCAATCCAACTAATTTTAAAGAGTTAACCAGCGACTTCAGATTTATCCAGGGATATAAAAGTCCAAAGATCTAGGACAACCACAAGACTCTCAGAGGAAAAGAGTATCTGGTCAAATTCTTGTTCCTTTGATAAATCAACAGAAAGACCTGTCCAGAGCTTTGGTGTCTTTGCAAAGTGACTACCTTTATCCCAAACATGACTTGAAGGCAAACCTCAAGCTGAGATCTTTTTAAAAAGCTATACTTACATGAGCTGACTAAATAATAAAATCTTCTGTGAATACCACAAATTAATTGGAACACCCTGAGATATAGTGTATCTGGCAGGGTCCCACCACAACAGTCCCTTCTGCTTAGCTGGCCACATTTCTGCAACCTCATCTTCCCCACTACATGCATAAGGGCACTTAGACCAAAGACAATTAGTCCATAGCCATGGAACTATGTCCTGGTAAGACAAGATAATCTGTTCAAATCCTTGGGAATTTGAACTGAAAATAAGGAAAAACTTGGGCAGTTTATAGTGGGAAGAAAAGGCATAGACTATGGTTGAGCCATACTAATGGCAGACGACCCAAGTGAAGATCCTGAACTCCCTGGATGAGCTCTTTAGTCATCATGAATCCAAAGCTCCCTTCCTGCTCTGGTCTCCAGGTGTGTCCTATGATAGCTCCAGATGTCCTTGTTACTCTGTTCTCCTTACTGTTCCACAGATATCTGTATTTGTTTGCCAGGGCTGCTGTTAACAAAGTACCACAGACTGGGTGGCTTAAAAAACAAATTTATATTTTCTCACAGTTCTAGAGGTGAGAAGTCTGAGATCAAGGTGCCAGCAAGGTTGGATCCTCCTAAAAGACATTCCAAGTTTCCTTGGCTTATAGACAGCCATATTCCCCCTTTGTACATGTCTGTGCCCAAAATTCCTCTTTGCATAAGGACGCCAGTTATACCGGATTAAGGCCCACACCTAATGACCTCATTTTACCTTAATTACTTCTTTAAAGACACTCTCTCCAATGGTCACATTCTGAGGTATGAGGGGGTTAGGACTTTAATGCATGGATTTTGGAGGATACACATTTCAGCCCCTAACAACATCTTTAAAGTGATCCCCTCTTTGCTTAAGCTAGTTAAGTGTTGTTGGTTGTACCTGAATAAACCTTACCAAAATAGCTACATTTTCTGGTCTTCTATTATTTAATTATTCATGTGTTTCTTTCGAACCTCCCAAGAGTTTGAGCCATAAGAGAGCAGTAACATGCTTTAAAATTCAGTGAATTCTACCTCCACAGACCTAGTACCCTACAAACAGTTGGTACCAGAAACATAAAGGGCACAGAGAGTTCTGTAGAAGATGCTGTGCCATGGCACCCAAGATCCTGAAAGGGTCAGGACTAAAGTATTCATTCTCTTAGCAACCACGAGTATTGGCTGCTGTTAGTTCACAGCTAAGTCCTATCCCAGAAATTTGCAACAGAGTCACTTCACCCAAGGTAATGCCCATTCCTTGCAGGCAGCCTACATCCAATCATACAGAAGCCCAAAGGCCCAGCCTTCTTGTCTTCAACTCAGGACATCTCTGAAGAGCCAGCCCAGCTCCAGAGCAACTTGTGGGATTGGCTGTGGCATGTATGCAAATGAATTACAGTTCAACCCTCCCTCTGCCCAATCCTGCTTCCATCCTGCTTCCGTTCCCCACCCACCCCCAAGGTGTTGAGCCTGAGACTACTTCCCAATAAACTGCTGCACACAAACCTGTTAATCTATTTCCCAGAAAACCAGACTCGCCCTATATCCTATGGCTAACACTGTGACAAAGATGCTGCACTTGATCTTAGCCAAAAGGCCAAGAAGCGGTAACACTGTGACAAAGAAGGAAACAAAAAAAATTGGGAAAAATGAGCCAGGTACTAGGTTAATTTCCTCTTTTCCACATCTTGGTTTTGAAGAATCCTGTCCATCTTCTACTTTCTTGCTAGAGAAAGGGTCCTGTTCCTTCGGATCCCCTCTGACCTGCCCTGTGCGGACACCTTCCGCATCCTCCCCACTCCCATCCTCCAATCCACAAGCAGGAACCCCAGACATCCTGCTTTCCCTGGACAGTAGGGGGCGCCTCAGTCCCCGGCTCCTCCCCCTGGGTTCCTGCCACTGCATTTCTGAAGTCTGGTCCCTTCAGTGCCTGGCCCTGGGGTGAAAAACGGAGAGGAGGGGGTGAACCAGAGGAATCCATCCAGGAGGAGAAGCTGGTCCCGTCTACCTTCTCTGGCTGCTCCCCAGCCGGCCTCTCCCTGGGAGCCTGAGTTCAGGAAACAGAAAGTACTGATTCTGAGGACCAAGATTTGGGCCCTGCTGGTAGTGCCTTCCTACTGTCCCTTCTACTGGGTGAGCCTCTGGGGTAAGGGGGCATGGGGATGGGAGAGGCAGAGGTTTTTGGCTGAAGGAATTACCACACAGAATAATAGGACACTTCACCCATGGGACATTACTTATGAATAGTGTGTCCTGGGGAAGTCCTGAGGGGATATTATATGCAAAGCAATAAACAAAAAAAGACCCCTGCCCTCATAGGGCTTATAATCACTGCACTTATTAAATATATAAATTTTAAAGCAGGTTAGAAAGTCCTAAATGTTAGGAAAGGAAAGGGGCAGCAGGAGTGGAGGGGCAGGAGGTGTGTTGTAATTTTAAATAGGGTAGTCAAGGAAATTTCATAAGGAGTCATTTGAGCAAAGCCCTGAAGGAACTGAGTGACTTAGCTACAAGGATCTAGGAAAAAAGCATTTCAAGCAGAGGGAATTTGAAGTATCAATACTCTTGAGTGATTTCAGGCATAAGCTTGTTCACTTATTTTTCTGGCCCACAATGATTTAAAAGAGCAGGGTAGGTTGAGAGCAGGAAAAAGGTAAGAGTTAGAAATAAGATACACAAATACTGCAAAATGCCAATTCAGATAAAGAAAACAGCTCATAAACCTCAAAAGCACCTGAAGGCATCATTGTGTTTACAACCTAATATACCTGATATTCCTGGTGACAACCCTGAATCTTCCAGTAAAAGTTAAATTACGTTCCATGTATGCTGCTAAAGAAGGCAGGTAAGTATGTAATTCTCGAGATTCCCACTAATGGGTAGACATTTATAAAAATCTGGCCTTTAATACAAATCTGAGAAATTTAAATACATGGAAAGCCTCTCCATTCAGTGAATCTAGACGTAAGATGCATTATTGTATACTAATGATATGGTGTCTGTCTTAGGGTCTTGCCCAAGTTCTTCCCCCAAAAAGAAAGATCTGCAATCAGGTGAGTGGTCTCTACCTAGACTGCTGGGTTTGGAACTGGGATAGGACGGAGGATGGAGGCGACGGGGGACTCAGGTCCTCGGAACGGATGGGAGTTTAATGATGATAAGATGAGAACCAGAGGAATGGGACACGGAGAGGTCCACATGTCCATCTCTCTTCTTTCTGTGGTGTGTGGACGACCTGTATACTCAGGCCGTGTTGTGGGTGGCCAGGATGCTGTTGCAGGGCACTGGCCTTGGCAAGTCAGCGTGCGCTTGGGCCAGAACCATGTCTGTGGAGGGTCTCTCATCAGTGACAGGTGGATACTGACAGCACACTGCTTAAAAAAGTGAGTCCTGCGAGCTTTCCGTAGAGCTTTGGAGGCGGAGAGTGAAGATGGCGGCCTCCCAATCTCTGCCCTGGAGGAGCCGAGAACTCAGGGCCCCGCTCCTCAGTGAGCCCCCAGAGAAAAGCCGCCAGTCACTCCCACCTCCCCGGTCTCCGGCCGCACTCCGTGCTCGCCCGGCCTGTGACCGCGCGTTTCTATCTCTGGCACCCGACCCCGGGTGGAGTCTCCAAACCCAGCAGATCCCTGCGGTGCGCTCCCGCGCGGCTCCTCCCGGGGGAGGAAGATGGGGCTTTTAAAGAGGTAATTAAAATAATTAAATGAAGTCATGCGAGTGGGACCATAATCTGCTATGAGGGCTGTCCTTATACGAGGAGGAAGAGACATAGGGATGCACGCACAGAGAAGAGGCCACGTGAGGACACAGCAAGAAGGCACCAGCAGCAAGCCAACATGAGTGGCCCCAGGAGAATCCAGCCTTGCTCACACATTGATCGAGGACTTCCAACCTCCACACCCACAACTGTGTGAAAATACATTTTTGTTACTGAAAAAAAAAAAAAAAAAAAAGTGAGTCCTACTGGGGGCTAGCACACAGATAGGTTCTCAGTAAATACTTGAATGATTTCATGAATGAAACAACAGACACATCAAAGTGGTAAGATGAGTCGGCGTACCTGGGTGGCTCAGTCAGTTAGACTGAGCCCTGAGTCGGGCTCCATGCTCAGCGTGGAGTCTGCTTGAGATTTTCTCTCTCTCCCTGTTCCTCCCCCTGCCTGCACTTCTCTCTCTCTAAAATAAATAAATAAATAAAATCGTAAAAAAAAAAAAATGAAAGTGGTAAGAGGGGGAGGCAGAAGGAAACCCTACATCACCTTGGACTAGGGATAGGACATAGAGGTAGAAAAAGAAATGACAGAGATAGGCACTATATTAGAAACTTCTTCTTACTTTGTGCCTAATCATTTCCTAAACATCAGCCAGGAAACTCTGTCTTGAGCTCTTCTGGATCACAAACACAATCGGAGCTCTCTCAGAGCTCCTGCTCTAAGAGAAGCAAGGTGCCATGTGGAGAACAGTCCTAGGGAGAGGCTCATGTGAAACTAATGTCTCCAGCCAACAGCTAGTGAAGACTTGAAGCCTGCCACCATAAGGGGGTTTGGAAACAGATCCTCCCAGAGTCAAGCCTTGAGATGACTGTAGCCCAACTCGATTGTAGCCTCGCAAGAGATGAGGCAGAAGCACCCACTGAAGTCACACCTGATTCTTGACGCCCAGAAACTGTGAGATAAATGTTTGTTTTCTTAAGCCTCTAAGCTTTGTGGTAACTTGTTATGCAACAACAGATAAGTAATATATATAGAAATCAAAACAGCAGGACTTTTCAATAACAATACCCAAAGCTCAAAGAAAATACAGAACAAGAACTTCAAAATGCTGGGAAAAAATTATTTCCAACCCAGAATTCTACCCATATGCAAATTATTGATCAAGCGTGGGATAGAAACAAGACATTTTCAAATATACAAAGCAGCAAAAATATTACCTCTCATGCACATTTTCTCAGGAAGCCATAGCAGAGTGTGCTTCACTAAAATCAAGGAGAGAAAAACAAGAAAACATGGAATAGAGAAAAAAGGGGGATATAACCCAGAATAGAATCCCCAAGAAAATGGGAGAAAATACAGGACAAAACTCTGGCCATAAGCATATAAGAGGAGACCAGAGAGACAGGAGACAACAAAAGAAAGTGGTTAGGGAGAGAGGAAAGGAGAAACAGCAACAAATCAACCCTAGTCCAAGTTGGAAGTAGCCTGGTTCATTCTAGGTCCATTACATCCTTTCTTGCCTAGACACTTGGTGCTATACATAGGCAGCTTGTTCCCACCCAGCTGTAGCACCTAAGCCTGCTCCACTTTTAGTCTTCTTTTTCTATTCCCCTTAGGAACTGGATTCCTTTGTTGTATACTGTACAGCTGGGATCGATTCAGATAGACCAACCAAGTCAAAGTGTGAAGCATCGTGTGTTCAAAATTATTATCCATCCCCAAACTCAACATACAACTGCAGACATCGCCTTGTTGAAACTGGTCTCTAGAGTCACCTTTACCTCTTTCATCCTGCCCATCTGCTTGCCCCGTATCACAAAGCAGTTGAAAGTTCCAGCCTCTTGCTGGGTGACTGGATGGGGAAAGGTTAAAGAAGGTGAAGGTGAGAATGGGTAAAGAAAGGGGTTCTTTTATCCATCATCCTCTTTGTACCCACTCCAGAACATTTGCATTCTAGGTATACCATTACTATGGCAAATATTTTTTAATAAACCCCAACCTATTGATATTATCTGTAAGTCTTCAAATAAGATGTCTTTTTCACATTTATTATGTTTTTTAGATCCTGCTTAGAGTCTAGCTAAAGCTGCAAGAGCAGATACTAACAATTTGAACACATAATTACTTCTCTGAAACAAAGGTTAACAAACCTGATCTAAAGTCTGGAAGAGTCTAGTATTTTTGAAAATCTGTTCTTAAAGTGTTGTGTCAACTCTTTCCCAGGAGGAGTGAGGACAAGAAATGATCTGGGAGCAGAAAAATAGGAAAGGAAGAAGTTTTAGAGTATTTCAAAAACTCCTATCTTTATTGAATCAAACTGTATCAGAATTTCTCTTTATTTAAAACACGAGGAATACCCCACACTGGCACATTAGAAAAATCTTAAAACAAATAGAAATAATTTTGAATTATCCATTGTTTCAGATTAAATTTACCAAAAATATTCTTGTATTAGCAAATATGATTAGAAAGTGATTGTATTCTGCTTTCGGATTCTCATTCAGAGATTTCTGCAAATCATGACTGAATTTTGCCGTTGCAACTTTCCAGATTGCTTTTCCTTTCACTCCTGTCTGTCTTTACAGATACCGATTACCCCTCCATCCTCCAGGAAGCAGAAATACCCATCTTTGACCGCCAGACCTGTGAAAAACTCTACAACCCAATCGGTTCCATACTGCCAGAATCAGAACCAGTCATCCAAGACGACGAGATATGTGCTGGTGATACAGCTAAAATGAAGGATACTTGCAAGGTTAAGGTTTGCTCTTGAATTTTTTTTTTTAATACGAGACTTTAATTTTGACCCAGGTTTTCCTGAATGTAAACAACAGTAGACTGGGAATCAGGAGACAAAGGTTCTGACAATAATTCTTGTGTTATGCTGGTTCCATGCTGCCAGAATCAGAGCCCGTCATCCAAGACGACGAGGTATGTGCTGGTGATACAGCTAAAATGAAGGATACTTGCAAGGTTAGGGTTTGCTCTTGAATTTTTTTTTTTTTAATATGAGACTTTAATTTTGATCCGGGTTTTCCTGTATATAAACAGCAGTAGACTGGGAATCAGGAGACAAAGGTTCTGACGATAATGCTTGTGTTACGCTGAATTACCGATGAATTTAACCTCTTCAACTTTTGATCTAGAGAAACGCTAACTTTTGGTTACTGGGTTTTCACAGACTTGTATATTTTTATAAATATATTAAGAGGTTGACACAGAACTGCCAACTTTATTTTTTCAAGTAAGAACATTTCACTCTATATTAAAAGATGTCATTCCACTGTCTCCTGATCCTAACTGTCCAATGAAGACTCGTCCATCATTTTTGTCTTCCTCCATTGAGTGTGATGTGTTGTTTTGCTCTGGCTGTTTTCAATATATTTACCTTCACATTTGATTGTCAGAATGTGATGGGGCACCTGGGTGGCTCAGTAAGTTGAGCATCCAACTCTTGGTTTCAGCTCAGGTCAGCAGGGAGTCAGCTTGGGATTGTCTCTCTCTTTCCTTCTGCCCCTCCCTTGCACATGTGCATGCTCTCTCTCTCTCTCTAAAATAAATAAATAAATCTTAAAAAAAAAAAAGAAGTTTGAATGTGATGTGCTAGGTGTAATTTTCTTTGTATTTATCCTATTTAGGATTCATTGTTTTTGTTTTTTTAAATCTAATCTGTTCTTTTATCTTTTATCAAAACTTGAGAATTTTTTCATTCATGACTTCTTCAAATATTCTGCCTCATTTCTCTCTCTTCCTCTTCTAGTTGAAAGAGAAAATGTAGGTTACACCTTTTGATTTTTTTCACACAGTCTCTGATACTGTTTTATTTTTACCTTTCTCTGTTCTTCAAATTGGATACTTATAAATTAATCTATATTCAAGATTACCTCTCTCCTGTCATCTACATTTTAGTGTTAGGTTCATCTAGTGAAAGTTTTCTTCACATATTTTCACATATTTTATTTTTTAGTCCTAGAATGACCACTTGGTTTTATTTCCTTTCCCTCTCTCCCCCTTCCTCCCTCTCTCCTCCTCCTCCTTCTCTCTCTCTCTCTCTCACACACACATACACACACTTTTCTCTATCTCTGCCATGATGTCCTATTTGTATAGTCACTATTTGCAGTCAAACAACAATGGAACACGGTTTGACACCCACTAGGATGGCTATTATCAAAATAGATAATAACAAGAGTTGATGAGGATGTGGATAAATTGGGACCTTCATACTCCTTCTGGGAATGTAAAATGGTACTGCTCTGGAATTACTATTCTTCAAAAGGTTATATACAGAGTTACCATATTACCCAGGAATTCCACCTTAGGTATACACCCAAGAGAAATAAAAACATGTCCACAGAAAAAATTATGCATGAATATTCATAGCAGCATTATTCGTAAGAGCCAAAAAGTGAGAATAATCCAAATGCCCACCAACTGAGGACAAGATCAACAAAATGTGGTATATCCAAATAACGGAATAATTTTCAGCCATAAAAAGGAATGGAGCACTGATAGATGCTACAAGGATGAACCTTGAAAACGGAATGTTAAGTGAAAGAAGCTAGACACAAAAGATCATATATCATATGGTTCCATTTATACAGTATGTCCAGAATATGCAAATTCATAGAGGCAGAAAGCAGATTACCAGCTGGCCTAGGGCTGAGAGGAAATGAGGGTGACTGTTAATGGGTATGGGGTTTCTTCTGAAGGTGATGAAAATGTGGTGATGGTTAAACAACATTGTGAATATACTAAAAACCATTGAACTGTACACTTTAAATGGGTGAATTGTGTAGTATATGAATTATATCTCAATGAAGCTGTTAGAAAAAGAGACAGCAATATTGAAAGACAAACCATCAACTACTATCACTATCATTTTACATAAGAAAAGATTATTTTAACACTAAAAAAAGGCAATAAGAACCTAAGAATAGAAAAATAAGGACTGTTCGTTCAACTGAAATAAATTTACCTTTAGAGAAAAAATTCATCACATTAATTTCTCTTTTTTATCACAGATATAACTACTGATATATTTAGCTAAGGTCTCTGCCAATTTCAAATTGTAGGATTCTAGAAATCCCATGATCTTCCCCTAATGCAGTAAGAAGTCCAGCTCCCTCTAGAGCTCTCCAGCTCCACGGGTTCCATTGCCCCATTCTAAGGAACTCTCCACCTCTTGTGACCACTTTCCTCTTCAAGGTCCCTTTTCACTACACTCACGACCTTTATCTTTCCTCAGGGTGATTCTGGAGGACCTCTGTCATGTCATATTAACGGTGTATGGACCCAGATAGGACTAGTAAGCTGGGGAATAGGCTGTGCTGAATCTCTCCCTGGAGTCTACACCAGCGTGATCTACTATCAAAAATGGATTAAGACCACTATCTCAAGAGCTGAGGTCTTGGGTGCCAATAATTTGGACTTACCTGACTTCCTGTACCTTACTGTACTGCTCTCTCTGGCTCTGCTGGGACCCTTCTGTGCCTTTGGGCCTAACACCGTACCAGGAGAGTAAACAGTATAGCTAAAGCCACTGGCCAAGTACAGGGTGAGGGTAGGAATACACAGAGATTAAGCCCCAGGAGCAGAGAACTCACAGAGAGTCACTAGGAACCCTGGATTACTTCATTAAAATAATTAGAAATGATTTTGGTTTTGAGGTTCTTTATTCTAAAAGTATGTTTTAGGGGTTGGAATGTGAGTAGCTGAGAAATAAGGCTGCCGCTTCTGTGCACGGCATTCTTTGTCCCTGACTATGAATCTTACAAGGCAAGAAAGGTACCTTCTATGAATAAGTAATTATGGACACAAATGAATGGCTACTGGAGAAGAGGGCAAGAAAAGAAGTATCTGTGAAGGCAAAGTGAAGGAAAGTCCTCAGGAAATATATTAAGAGTTTACTTTGGGGGCCCCTGGGTGGCTCAGTTGGTTAAGCGTCTGCCTTCGGCTCAGGTCATGATCCCAGGATCCTGGGATTGAGCCCCGCATCGGGCTCCCTGCTCAGCGGGGAGCCTGCTTCTCCCTCTCCCTCTGCCTGCCGCTCCCCCTGCTTGTGCTCTCTCTCTCTTGCTCACTCTCTCTCAAAAATAATTAAAAAAAAAAAAAAAAAGAGTTTACTTTGGGTCCATGGCTTGCATTATGGGCTTCTTGTCTATATTACTCACTTCCTCTCCTAACCTATACTTTGCCTCTGCAAGGAGTCAAATAAAAAATGTGTATATATAATTCATTTTTCTGAAATTTTTACTTTTTGAAATACCAATGTGACCTACTACCAAAAAATGGATTAATGCCAGGATCTCAAAAGCTGAGGTCTTAGGTTTCAATAATCTGGACCTGCCCAGGTTGTTTAATGTTACTCCAATAATAAAGTACTTTAAATGTTTAATAAGGACAGGATAACATCCCTTGCTTAACTAGCATGCTTCTTTTTATTAATCCATCCCATGACCTACTATTTCCTACTTTACCTAGGCTTCCAGGAGCTCAGAGCTAAGTTATATACTCAATTTCAGTCATTATCTTTATCCTAGATTATTGAGTATAATTCCATTCACATCTCTTTTTATTTAAATCATCCTTGGAGCGCCTGGGTGGCTCAATCATTAAGCATCTGCCTTCGGCTCAGGTCATGATCCCAGGGTCCTGGGATCGAGCCCCGCTTCGGGCTCCCTGCTCGGCGGGAAGCCTGCTTCTCCCTCTCCCACTCCCCCTGCTTGTGTTCCCTCTCTCGCTATCTCTCTCTCTGTCAAATAAATAAATAAAATCTTTAAAAAATAAAAATAAAAAAAAATAAATCATCCTTCATTTCTCATTTGAATGAACTTGAAAGTTTTATTGCATCTGTGTCTTTCATGGTAAGTCAGCTTTCAAAAAACCCAACTTTTTGGATAAACAAATACCTTTAATAGGAAGTGAGGGTAGATTCGGAAACTTAAAATCCTTGCTAGCCGTTAACCCCGTCTGTCTTCTGGACGGCCACTACCCGCCAAACCCCATGTCCCTTCCCTCACTTAACACCTATGCTCAACTCCATTTATTCTCCACAGCATTCAGACTAGTTTTAAAAATAAAGATTTTTTAAAAATAAAGATTTTTAAATACATTTCTCCCCCCATTTTCCCTGCTTCAGCACTTCAAAGACATCTCCTTGCTCAGAGGATAAGGGGACCAAAGTCCCTAAGAGGGCTGACAAAGCCATGCAGGTTCTGATCCCCGCCCGCTTCTTCAGCCTCACGGCACCCTGCTCTCCACGCTTTCAATTCTTCAGATGTTCCAAATCCCCTCTCAGCGCCGGACTTCTGCATCTGCTATTCCTGCTCTCCTACTGCCTTTGCCTAGTTAATTCTTACTGTGCCTCAGATCTCAACTCACCTTTCACTTCCTCAAGGAAGCTGTCCCCATCTCTCCCGACCAGAACAAATCCCCCACTGTATATTCTCTTAGCATTATGGAGCCCTCCTTCGTAGGACTCAACACAGCTGTAATATATTATTCATTCGTGTAATTGTCTAGTTAATGTATGTCTTACCAAAATGTAAGGATTTTTGTTTTTGCCAACCACTGTATCCTAGTTTCACAAAATACTTGTTGAACGAATGAATGAATGAATGATGATCACTCAACCTCTTCGTTTCCCCAACTAACAACCTGGGTATTTTGTTTATGGAGGTAGCCCAGAACCTGACACAACGTCTTACACAAAGTAGACTTTCAAATATTAGTTAAATAAAAGAATGAAGGAAAGAACACTTCAGTCTTGTTCTCCTTCTCATCTCTCTCCAGCCATAATAAACGAAGGAGAGAAAAGAGCACATAAAACAGGTAAATTGGAAGGTTTCTGGAGGCAAGGATTTAAGCTAGGCAACCGCTGAAATGACATAGAGGGCAAAGCAAAATGGCAACTGAGAAAAAAGAACAAGAGAGAAAAAAGGGGCAAGAAAGGAAAATAGAGGAGAAAGGACAGACTAAGATCAAAACAAACAGGAAGAGAAAGCACACAAAAGTATGTGCCAAGACAACACAGCAAGAGGACATAAAGAAGGTCAAGAAAGCCAAAATATTGCTTCCTATCATTTCTCCAGACTCTTAGGAAGCACCTGTTCTGCAGCATGGGATCTGGCAAAATTTTTCTCATGAACCAAGAGGTGAAACTTAAAAACTTTTGGAGGGACCAGACCATTCAAAGGGAAGAGGACCACATGACCTCACTGTCCTGGCCACTACTGGTTGGATGTACCAGGGATAAGCACCTGATCAAACAGCTGCCCAGAGGTGGTGGGGCAGTTGGCCTAAAATCTTACCTGACAGATGCACTCAATACTGGACAACCCAACAGATCCCCTCCTGGGAAGTGTGAGTATGCATCGTCTAGTATTCAGCATGCACTCAACAGTATTAAGTGCCCACCATGTTCTAGGCACCATTCTGGCCACTGAGGATACTGCAGTACATTCAACACATTAAGCCTGCCTTCATGGAGTTTACATTCCAGTGGGGGAGAGAGACAATAATCAAATGCAAAATAAATATTTGTTATAATGTCATGTATAGGAAAGTCTGATAAAAACAAAAGAGAAGCAGCAAATAGAGTATCACGGTGGGGGATTCCACTTTAGATAGGGTGGTCAGGGAAATTTCCCTAAGAAGATGACATTATATAGAGGTCTACATAAAGGAGGATAGAAAAAAAAAAAATCCTGAGAAAGAACATTCCAGGTAGAGTGAATAACAAGTACAAAGGTTCTGAGTTGGAAGTATGCTAGGTGCGTGTGTGAGGAAGAACAGAGAAGTCAGTGCAATGCTAGAACACTGTGAGCAAAGAGGGAGAAGGGGATGAACTGAGACCAGAGAGGGTGCTGAGTGCAGGTCCTACAGAGCCTGGAAGGTCCCTGTAAGGACTCTGAATTTTATTCTCAGTGCAATGAGAGGGCACTGGAGGGCTAAGAGCAGGGGAATGATGAAAGAAGAACAGAAAATCCCCTACCACAGTGCATCGGAGTATGCAGAGGACATGAGGGGGCTAGGATGGTAGAGAGGGTAGTCAGATGGCAGCAGAGTTAGACAAGCAGAGAGAATAAGAATCTGATACCAACGTACTAATGAGCAAAACACGAGGGCTACATACAGTATCCTGGAGCATCAGTGAGGAAGGTTTGATTCCATAAGGCTGTGTGTTGTTGTCTGCCCTACTCCCCACCTGTACTACCCTTACAATAGGGCCCCACAAACCAAGGTGAAGAAAAGCACAAGCCCAGGTTTCTTACCATCTACTTTATAATTCATCATTAAGACACCTCCCTAACTTCCTATTTGTCTTTTTTCCTTCTTACCCAGACCAATGTTCTTCTCCCTCCTTCATCCCGCTTCTACCTCTAGGCATTGTTTTATCTGCCCTCTACTCCTGAAATACCCTTCTCTCATAAACCTCAACCCACTTATTTGTCTATTGGTTAAGAAAAAGAGGTACTGAAAATCTAAAAAGCACACTGAAAGGACCCTAGGAAATGGTTTTAAAAATTAACAGGAAATGGGTGAACTATATGGTGTGTGAATTATATCTCAATAAAGGTATTTTTAAAAAACAGGGAAATTTTTCTCCTGTTTAAATAAAAATGATTAGTCTGTATGTATTTAGGACTCTCTAAAGATCTTCTAAATAATCCTTGTGACCATTTCAAAAAAAGGTTCAAACCAATTACATACATTTTCTGTTTCAAATGCTAACACATAAAATGTAAAGCTTAACCCACTATATGATACAGCAACTGGTACACATTGCCGGGGGGGGGGGGGGCGATCAATAAACATTTGTATTCATGCAACTAAAATGTCAAGTACTTACTGGTAACAAATTTAGTCAGTGACACCACAAATGACCAAATGGGGAAGAAATAAATAGGGACATCTTTACACTCTATTTTGGAGGGGGGCTCAGCAGCATTTCTGCTTTAAAAATCGATTTTAATTTGTAGAACACTTTATTCCTCAGAATATCTGGTTTAATATGCTCCAATTTTCACTTTCACATCTTTAGGAATTTTGCTAAGGTCACATTTAACAAATAAAGCTGTACACTAAGGCTGTCAGCAATTTCCCCCCTAAAAGTGGGGGAAAATTATATAACTATTTCCAGATCTTTTATTAATATAACAAATGGATTATTTCAAGTAATTGCCCATTCTTCCTTTATTTCACCCTATTATTTCCTTTATTTCACTATTTCACTTATTTTCCTTTATTTCATTTTATTTCCTTTATTTCGCTATTGTAAAGTCACCCTCAAAATGTGGGGACATTCTGGAAAAAGAATTCAAAATAATAAAATGTGGAGGTTGTATTTTGATGTTATTTCTTTTTTTTTTTTTTTTTTTTTTAAGATTTTATTTATTTATTTGACAGAGAGAGACACAGCGAGAGAGGGAACACAAGCAGGGGGAGTGGGAGAGGGAGAAGCAGGCTCCCCGCAGAGCAGGGAGCCCGATGTGGGACTCGATCCCAGGACCCTGGAATCATGACCTGAGCCGAAGGCAGTCGCTCAACCGACTGAGCCACCCAGGCGCCCCCTGATGTTATTTCAACAGTGGCTATTTTATCTTTTCAGATGCTTGACTTCATTCTGAAGCTACACTATTCTCCCCACCACATTTGACTATGTGTAGTTTATTTACATACTAGAAATCAGCTGAGAATTTTATTAAACATGTTCCTTCTTCAGGAAAGGGAGGAAGAGGAAGGAGTCACTCAAAATAACCAGAGGTTAGACTCATTATATTCCCTACTATCAACATTAAGAGAAAATGTTCGTTGTCCTCAGAATAAAAAAGATTGAAATCTTTAATAGGAAATTCTAGTTGTTGTTCAGGATAATCACCCTCGACCGATCCAAATTCTCTCCATGGCATCTTCTACCATGTAAGTGCTCACTTCCCCTCGCCATGTGGTTGGAAGAGAGTGACTGGCGTCTAGTCCTGTGGCACTTGGTGCCACTCTTACGACACTAGCCCACACTACCTTGTACCATAATTAACTATGAATACCCAGGAGTGAAAAGAATAAGATAGGATGAGGGCCTAGGACTCCAAGATGCTAAAAACTCCTGATTTTAGTGGAAATTAGTGATAAAAGGATAGATTCTAGATGCAGTTGAGTAAAACTGAGATAATACTTTGATTTAGATATTGATTTTTTGATATTTTGATATTGATTTAGATAGTTGATTTAGATATTTGATTTAGATTTAGATATGATGTGAATGGACTGGATGTGGATGATGAGATTGGTAATTGGGATAGAAGGATGTGAAAGAAAAGGACCTAAAAAGAGAAATCTAGAATGACTCCTAGGTTACTGGCCTCAGAATGGTCATCCTATTAAATGAAATGAGGAAGGATGGAAGAGGAAAAGATTTGACAGGCTACCCAATCCAGTGGTACCTGAATTCCCCCAAGGATGTCAATCTTGTAATCCCTAGAACCTGTGACTATGTGACCTTATCTGGTAAAAAAAGACTTTCCCTACATAATTAAGTTAAACATTTTGAGATGGAGAAATTATGCTGAATTATCTGGGTGAGCCCAACAGAATCACAAATTTTCTTATAAAAGGAATGCAGGAGAGTGGGAGTCTGAGGTGTTTTCGCGACTATGCAAAAGACACACAGACTGAAGCAGAAGGGAGAGAGGAGCAAAGATGCTATGCTGCTGGATCTGAGGACGAAGCAAGGGGCTACAAGCCAAAGAGTGCAGTCAGCCTCTAGACGTAAAAAAAGGCAAAGAGATGATTCTCCCCTAGAGCCTGCAGACGGAACGCAGACCTACGACACCTTGATTTTAGCCCAGTGAAACGGATTTCAGACTTTTGATCTCCAGAACTGTGGGACAATAGATACATGTTGTTGGAAGGCACTAAAGTTGTACTAATTTGTTACAGCAGCAACAGGAAAGGAATATATTCATCTTAGATTTGAGAAGCCTATCAGATACCCAACTAACAATGCCAAGCAGACAGTTTGGAGCTTAGAGAGGGCAAGACTAGAGAAATAGACTCACAAGAATCTGTTTGAATTATGGACCCTCTTCCCCACACTCTCACCCTGCGCCCCAAAACACTTATGCCTACACACATTTTCATGTAATTTCAAGATGCTCAAGGATTCCTAGAACCTGCAGAATATTTTAAGTAACCACAAGGCAGCCTGTTCTAACCCTGATAAGAAGACTGTTCCCTCCAAGGAGGAGGGAACCAAGTAACTCTTTCCTTTTTTAAAGATTTATTTATTTGAGAGAGAAGAATGAGAGAGAGAGAGGCGCACGTGCACATGAGAGGGGGGGAGGGTCAGAGGGAGAAGCAGACTCCCTGCTGAGCAGGGAGCCTGATGCAGGACTCGATCCTGGCACTCCAGGATCATGACCTGAGCTGAAGGCAGTCACTTAACCAACTGAGCTACCCAGGCACGCCCTCCAAGTAACTCTTCATTAAAAAAAAAAAAAATCTTTAAAAATTTGTTTCCCAAGGGGCGCCTGGGTGGCTCAGTTGGTTAAGCAACTGCCTTCGGCTCAGGTCATGATCCTGGAGTCCCGGGATCGAGTCCCGCATCGGGCTCCCTGCTTGGCAGGGAGTCTGCTTCTCCCTCTGATCCTCCCCCTCTCATGCTCTCTGTCTCCCATTCTCTCTCTCAGATAAAAAAATAAAAAATCTTTAAAAAAAAAAAAAAGAAAATTTGTTTCCCAATACTGCTTATAAAAAAAAAAATTAGAGGGGTGCCTGTGTGGCTCAGTCGTTAAGCATCTAACTTTTGATCTCCACTCAGGTCTTGATCTCAGGGTCCTGAGTTCAGGCCCCGCATAATAGAAATGTTACAGAAATATCTAACATAGAAAGTTCAAATCCCCCATGTAACCACTGTACTTCTCACTACCACCTTTTACACTCCTCATGCTTAAGAATGTGGTCAGGATGCCTCTGACTCCTTATTTAACTGTTTATACATACAGATGTACAGTTGTGGGGTTTTTTTTAAGCTTGCTTTAAAAAAAAAAAATTAAGCCTGCTTTTTAAAATTAGCTTATAACACAAAGCTGTGGTTACAACATCTGCAAAGCCTCAGAGATGAGATATTTGATTCATTTTATTAATAATTCCATATAACTAGGCTAGATAAAAAGGATAACAGTTGGCTGATCAAAGAAATTTTGTGTCAATGAATTTTTTAAATAATGAAAACATTTGGCCTTAAAAACTAAAATCACTAGATCATCTTCAGAGACAAGTATTTGGATGTCAGGAGAAATCTCCTAACCCCCTATGAGGTTCAATGAAGCTATTTTTACTTCTGAAACAGAGACCTAACATGAAAGACCTCAAGGAGATAGTATTCTAAAAAATGCACCTTTTTCCACATTCTTTTGTCCAGAAGCTGCTGAGTTGGTATCATAAGGAAAAATGTGTTACTTCACTAAAAGAGGCCAAATAAATGACTAGTTCCAAAATGGATACATTTTAAAACTTCTAAAAGCAGGTCACAGAGAAAGCAAACAAAACCAATGTCAACCTACCTTTCTTTGCAGCTCATCAGGCCTAACCAAGCTCTTCCAAGAAAGAACAATCAACTGAGCATCAGGATAGGAGCACCCTTCTGTTGGACCATACTCAAAACTGTACAGACTCAGCGGGGCGCCTGGGTGGCTCAGAGTCCAACTCTTGGTTTCGGCTCAGGTCATAATCTCAGGGTCATGAGATCAAGCCCCTCATGGGGTTCCGCTTGAGTCTGTTTGTCCCTCTCCCTTCCCTCTGCCCCACCCTCATTCACACGGCACTCTCAAACAAATAAAATCTTAAAAAAAAAAAAACTGCACACAGTTTTGCACAATATTTTTCATCAAGTGTTTGAATCTCTACAAGTGGAAAACATCTACCAAATACTGTGTGAATTCATAAAATAGGCTCTAGAAAAATCTTTCTTGAACAAAGACAAGCATAACAGGATAGATCTGGGAATTCCCAGGAAAAAAAGGTGCAAGGCCACATTAAGAAACCTGAGTTTTAAGGGGAGGATACAATGTACAAGACACTGAAAGATTTTAATGCTGGGGAAGAACATGGTCAATTTGCATTTTAGAAAAAAACACTTTGATGGATGTGTAGAGAATGAATTACAGAAAAGCAAGTCTGGAGGGACAAAAGCTAGGTACAAGGCCGTTGCGAATAGAGAAAGATATCTGGACCAGGATGGCAGCAATGAGGACAGAGAGAGAAGAATGAGTCAAGGGCCACATAGGAATATATGTTCAATAGAATTTGGTAAGAGATGATTAAAAAATATAAGTAATCATTATGGTGGGGGAGGAATTTAGGAACTCTACCTAGATTTCAGGGTGAGAAATATAGGTTAAAGACATCAAGAATCTATTAAAAAAAAAAAAAAGAAAGAAAGAAATCCAAACAGACACATTATATTCTTACACTGAGCATTTATCAAATAAGCAAGTTGAGAGAATTAAAATATATTCCAAAAGCTCAATGGGCCAATTTTTAGTTACTTACTAGTTACAGAAAGTTCATGAAAAATAACACATAAAGAACCCTAAAACCCAAGTTTTTGCCATGGTTCCAGTCTGCTCACACTAGCGAACCTTTAAGGAGGCTGTGGTAGATGCTGCTGTTCCCAATGACTCACAGCCCTCCCTGGAGAAGGATTATCCACCCACTCAAGGTGCCAGGGGACTTGCAGGGCCTCCAGCAGAAAGACTACACTTCCCTACATCACTAACATTGTTGACCAAAGAAACGTGAATAGAAGTAATATAAGCTACTTCTAAACAGAGGTTTTAAGAGGTGGCACATGATTTGTCCATTGTTCATTTTCCCAGTTAGGGATTGCTCCTTCAGCCAGGATCCCAGAATGAAGAAAACAAGTGAGGCTGAGCTATAGCTCGCCAATTGAATATAACTGTTCTAAAATACTGAGCTTTAGAGGTTATTTGTAACCACAGCATTAACAACAAGGTATGACAGATTTATGATAGACATAGGTGTCTAACAAATAACAATATATGATTTGTTTGTTTCCCTCTTCCAGTTGAATTTTTCTGTTGATCTACTAAGAAGCAATCCTATGGTTAAAAAAAAAAAAAAGTTGGCCCAAGTATCCCAAAACTAAACTGGAAGGAAACTTGTTACTCGGTTACAGCAAACTTTTTCCATAAAGGGCTAGACAGCAAATATTTTAGACTCGCGGGCCACATGACTGTCAGAACTACTCAACTCTGCAGATACAGCACAAAAGCAGCCACAGACAATATGTAAATGAATGAGCACGGCTGTGTTGCAATAAAACTTTATTTACAGAAACAGTGAGTCAGATTTGGCCCATAGGAATTTAGTTTCCAGATCACTGGCCTAGATCCTTTATACTGTCAATGATGAATCTGAGACCCAGAGAGATTAAATCAAGGTCATACAACTGGCTAGTTGCAATTTGAGCATTAGAATGCAGTCTCCTGAATTTAGTCCTCTACAAAAGGTTCTGTTGGGTCACAAGATGGAGATGAGATATACAGCAAAGTATAAGGCAGAGAATGCTAAGGGTAGGTTTTGATTATATTAAATAGCTTTCAACAGTTTGGTTATAAATGCGGATTTGCTTTTCAAGTGATTATGGCTTTCATATAAACAAGTGAATATCGTAAGATCGAATAGGTGAACAAATGATAAATTACCCAATGCCTGAAAAATGATCTTCACTGGAAACACAATTATATACCTCCCTCTATTATCGTGTCCTCAACTTTATCATTTCTTTTATCAACAGGACAGCATTTACTATGATCATTGCAATAACTCATCTTTTTTTTTTTTTTTAAGATTTTATTTATTGGGGCGCCTGGGTGGCTCAGTCGGTTAAGCGTCTGCCTTCCACTCAGGTCATGATCCCAGGGCCCTGGGATCGTGCCCCACATCGGGCTCCCTGCTCGGCAGGAGCCTGCTTCTCCCTCTCCCTCTGCCCCCCCCCCCCCCCCCGCTCATGCTTTCTCTCTCTCCCTCCCTCTCAAATAAAAAAAAAAAACCAACTATAAAAAAAAGATTTTATTTACTTATTTGACAGAGAGAGACACATCAATAGAGGGAACACAAGCAGGGGGAGTGGGAGAGGGAGAGGGAGGAGCAGGCTTCCCGCTGAGCAAGGAGTCCGATGTGGGGCTTGATCCCAGGACCCTGGGATCATGACCTGAGTTGAAGGCAGACGCTAAACTACTGAGCCACCCAGGCGCCCCTGCAATAACTCTCTTGAGGCTATTTTTTTAAAGAGCATAATATGAGCTACAAATACAGTAGACCAGTAGGCAATTATTTCACATGGTATTTTAAATTTGTTTCTTCAAGTAATACTCATTGGAGGAAACTCAAACAATACAGAAATATATAAAGTGACACACACTACGCCCTCATCAATTCCACTCCCCAGAGTGTTAACACATGACTGATTTATATCAATCACAACAGTGCCAACAGTGCAATAAAGCTACTTTCTCTTGGGATGCCTGGGTGGCTCAGTCTGTTAAGAATCAGCTTTCGGCTCAGGTCAGGATCCCGGGGTCCTGGGATTGAGTCCTACATCAGTCTCCTTGCTCAGCCTGCCCCTCCCTCTGCTTGTGCTCTGTGCATGTGTGTCTCTCTCGCTCTAATAAATTAAAAAAAAAAAAAATCTTAAAAAAAAAAAAAGCTACTTTCTCTTTTAACAACAAGAGGAATATGGAG